AGATTTGGGGGTGCCAGTGGGCCAGGAGGGAAGGGATACTGGGGACGGAGGCTGGCAGGGTGTGAGGTTTCTTTATGGGTGATAAAGGTGCTCTAAAATTGATTTGGTAGTGACTGCACAACTCTGTACAAAGTTGTTGACTTGTACAATTTATATGAGTGGTATCTCAATAAAGCAGTTATTTAAATGAAATTCTTCAGAGACTTCAACCTGCTCTGTGGGTTTCTCCTCGGCACCAGTTCCACTCCAGCCATCCGAAACCATCTGCACCACTGCTTCCACTGCCTAGCCTGTGCTAGAAACTTGCTGTGCTTTTCCAGCAATATTCTCACCACCCAGCCCAACCAGTTCACCTAGTTAACTCCTTACTCTCCACAAGTCAGGTTACCAGGCAAACAGAAAGACATGTCTTCATGACTTGGGTTTTCACTGTGAATTTCTCTATCGTGTCTTAACCAAGTAAGATTCTCCTTGTTCACCCAAACTTGAAAGGTTGCTTTCTTCAAATCAGTCTTTGATCTTAAGACTACAGCATAATAGAGTCGCTAGGTCTGCTTCAGTGTTTTCCCACCTCCTCCTTATTTTTAGGTAGCAGGGAGGCAGTATCAATCAGTGATTGAGAATACGAGTTCTGGGGTCAGACCCAACTTTGAACATATGGCTTTTATCAACTAATTACTTAACCTCCTAATTTAACCATACTCTGCCTCAGCTTCTTCAACTGAAAAAAATTAAAGGACAATATTTATTGCATAAAGTTATGACGAATGAGATTAAATGATCTAAAGACTGAGAATATCTAGCACATATAATCAACTAACATACTAGCTATTGTGGTTAAATTATGATGCAAACTTTAGTTTTCAACATATTGATATAATTATAGCAGCTTCTCCTCTAATTTCTCTGACATTCATTCAACAAGTATTTACTAATCACTAAATACATGGGTGAAGTCAAATGTTAAGTTTTCTTTTAAATATGAAGAAATAATAAACTTAGAATGATTGCTTAAGTAACTTACCAAGAAAAAGAATAAATGATAGTTTTAGTTTTTGTGTTTTTTTTACATCTAGTTTTCTGCTCCAAAACTCCTGCTTTATCCTTGGCCCTGTACTACTGATGGAGTAATGGAGAACTATGTTTCATTCAACTAAATTTGCACTTTTTTTTTTTTTGCAATACTTTTTTGCCAAAGGAGAGAACATGCTAGTTTAGGTTTAATGGGAATTGTAAAGGAGAGGGTGAAAACTGGCTTTGGGAACCTTTTTGGAGACATGCAGGAACTAGGGTTCTGCGTGCTCCTGAGCTGCTTCCCAAGAACTCACACAGAAAGAAGACCTCTGTTTCAGACAAGAGTACTAAGGTCAAGCTAGAGAAACAGAATGGCACTCAGGCCAACCTCACTCCAAGTGTCTAATGAGAAAAAACGGTTCCCTCGAAGGGGAGGGGGACAGCCAAGGAAACCAGGAAAGGGAGGGGTGGTGGGGGAGAAGCAGATCTCCCTCTGCTGCATTCCATTGAAGTGCAAGACTTCAGAGCACAGACTCTCCAGACTGGGTCCTTTGGCAAAACTTACTCTAACATCAGATCATTTCACCAACCTCAGGCTCATCTCTCACCTTCATCACATGGTTTTAGAGCAGGGACTGATTGCTCTAAACTGACTGACACGTTTGTTCTGGGCCACGGGATTGTCACATATGACCAAATCAAGGATGAACAGGCAAACTGACTTCATACTTTAATCTTCCTAAGTTTCAGTTTAACAGTATCTGTGCAGGCTTCAGGGTTGCACAGCAAGGTGTAGGCCTGTGACAAATTTCCTGAGGCAACAGGCTTCCAGGTGAAGAGTCTGCATGCCCTCTCAAGCTACCCCTATATGTGTCTTGACTCCCATGGGAGAAATGAAAAATGGGCTCTATTTACACACACTTCCTACTTTCTTCCCCATATTAAGTCACAGAACTCTATTTCACAAAAAAAAAAAAAAAAAAAAAAAAATTGTTATTTTGTTGTCAGCCCAAAGTATGCCAGAGCATGGGGGAAACTGAAATGAAGATCACTGACATTCAGCTTAAATAATTCACTCTTAACCAACTCTTCCAACAGCATTCAGTCCATGATTCATGCAGGAGAAGTGGTCCCTAAGTTCTCCTCCATTCTACCACACAGATTCTCCGACACTTGTGAGCACCTCTGAGGCCCCAGGGATGGGCAAAGGGTTTTTGCACTAGTGATCCAGCTAATCTACAACACTGTAGTCTATAGTGCTCACAAAAAAATGACTGCAAAGCTGTAGGCCTTTCTGAAGAAGTGACCCTATAGTTGAGATCTAAAGCTTAAGACCAGGCAAATGATGGAGAAGGAAGGGGTGGGAGATGCAAAGACATAAGCAAGCACACTTTTGAGACACAGCTCCCCACCAAATACTGATGTATTTGAACCCTGGCTGGGCCTGGGTGAAGAGGGAGGACTAAGGCAGGATGTGAAAGAACGGAAAGAATGGAGATATCAGTAAAGAGCTGAAGACAAAGAAATAAACCCAAGAAACTTCATGTAATTATTATAAAAGTCCTACCATATTCCACTTATTGTATAAAGAAGAGACCTACATCCTACCAAAAAAAATTCTTTTATGGCTTTTTAGAGGCCCTTTTAACAGTACCTGAGTTACATATGTAACTTCTCTAAACTGGAAACTTTAATAGATTTACTAAGTCTATGAGATCATAGGATGGCTTAGCATTGCCTTTCCACTTTAGAAATAGGTTACTTTGTTCTTTTCTCATAATATTCACTTTCTGCCAAGAATTAGAGTAAATGAAAGCAGAGCTCAAGGGTAAAGCAACAGAGAACTGAAGAATTAGAATTTACCCCAGGAATGGGAAGATGACTTAATAATAGACTACTATAGAAAATCTGTTATTGTACCTCACCTCATTAACAAACTAAAGAAAGAATGTCATTATGATTACAAAAATATATAAGAACATATGATATGCATAAGATCTTACAGTGGTATTAGATGATTAGATGTAGAAAAATTCAATCCCGCCATTAAAAAAAAAAAGCAAACAAAAATACCTCTTAACAAAATCTTTGCATAATGTAATTAAAGGAATACAGTAAATACCCACAACAGATATATTTAATGGCAAACGATCGAGAGCATTCCCTTCATCAGGAATGAGGCCAGAAACCTCCTTCATCACATTTCTATTCAATATTTTGCAATATTTTGGTGCTGGGTGTTTTGGGGTGACATGCAGCTGAGAAAGTGTGGACCTATTCCCCTAAGTGGTACAGAGTACTGTAAACCAATGGTACCTCAATTCATAAAAAAGCAATAAATAAAGAAATAAATACTAATATAAAGCTACAATTACCAACCTCTGGTTCACACGAATGACTGAGTAATATCTTCTAATGGAATTGCTCCCACACTTTTTTTTAAATATAGATAATAGTTTATTTTTATATAATTTTGTGCATTTTCCCATCTCGTTTGCAATACCCTTGGGCTTTCCATCACCATAGTCCAGTGCATTTCCTTCCTCCCACTGTCCCATACTTTTAATAAAATGCTATGACTTTAGAACATAGGCACTGACAAAAATTCCAAACACCACCTATCAGTAATATCACCAGACAGTCAAATGCCAGAGAAAGATAGCAAATGCTAATCTTCACTTCTATGAAGCAGTAGAGAAAAATCTCCCCATAGCTCATGGTGTAACTTGTTTCTTAAAACAGTGACAACCCCTAAAATAAGGTGGGAAGATGTTTTCAAACTCCCTCACTATGAAAACATAGATCACAGACCCAGAGCTGAGAGGGAGGCAGGAGTTAGGAAGCTTTCTCTCTGAACTTTCATCCTGCTCTGTGAGGTAGGCAGGTTATATAATCAGCACCAACTCTCATCATATAACATAAAACAAAATTCTAGACTGATTTAAAGGGTTACTTTAAAAATGAAAGAAATGACATTTTGATCTTATGCTGGGGAAGGTCTTTTCCAAGCAAAAAAAGGTGGTGCGAGAAAAAAATGAATCAGATTTGAATGACCTACATGCTTGCTATCAAGTGTTGGCAAGGACTTAGGAAAACAAGCACTCTCATGAGCTGTGGGTGGAAAGTAAATAGTATAATATTTCTCGAGGGCAACTTGGCTGAATGTATTGCAAGTCTTTTCTATGATCATACTTGGACATGGTAAGTCAATGTCTAGGAATTTTTCCTAAGGAAATAATCAGAGGGATATAAAAAATATACTTAAAGGCTGAAAAAAATAAATACAACAGGTGGCCAGGTCCTTTATAATTACATTTTAAAGAAAAGTGGTAAGAATATGCTCAGAAAATATAAAATTCCAAAATGAAGTTAACATAGGTACAGGATTAGGTTTAAATTTCTTTTTAACTTATTGGATACAGAACATACACATGGGCTCATATACAGCTGCAAGAAACACCAAAAGCGTAGTTATTACCTGGCGAGGAAATCTGGGGTAACTTTTTGTTCTGAGTAACCAAAAACATGCCAATAGACCTGAATAACTCTCAATCTCCAGACTCAGATTCTGCCCCCTCTCTTGAGAAGTCCACCTGTGTGACTTCCCCTCCCCCGTTCTCTCACATATTCTAGGTGCTCCTCCTTTGCACTGAACTCTGTGTTGTCTGTGTTGTGAAGTCAATCATAGTGATTGACTTCATTCTATTCCGGTTACATTTGGAAGGGCGTGCAGTCAGAACTTGGGATGCTTCATTTTACAACCCCAAGTCATAGTGATTGACTTCACTCTATTCGGTTACATTTGAAACTGCCTGCAGTCAGAACTTGGGATGCTTCATTTTACAACCCCAATCTGTCTAGAATCTAGTAGAATTAAGATTGATATGACTAAGCAAATGATCTTCTGTGCTCTGCGAATTTAAAGGTCAAGGACAGAAATGTTAACAAGGATAAGCAAATACCATTGAGGAGACAGCTCTTCTTACCTTGGCTAATAGGCTTGAAACATGTTTAATTTCCCCGTTTGCCTTTAGTAATTCTTGTCTGAGCTCAGTACAGGTCAGTTCCAGTTGATCTTTCTCAGCTCGAGCTAATTTCAACATTTCTTGAACTTCAAAGCCTTCTGCCACTTGCCCCATGGGACAGGTCTCCATGGCTTTTTGCTTTCCATTCTCTAAGTTAGCCTTCAATGACCCATTTTCAATCTTCAGTCCTTCCAAGGTAACTTTACATTCTTCCAAGGTATTGGTCATTGCACTATTATTATGCCGTTCCAGTTCTAGAAATCCATTTAGTTTCTCATTTTCTTCCTTCAGGCTTTTAATCATTTCCAAAGCTCCTTGGTTTTCTTCCTCCACCTTCCGTAAGCTGCAAGTCAACTGCTGTTGGATGTTGAGCAGCTTTTCTCTTTCAAAGCGACCCTGTTCTATAATTTCTGTACACTTCTGTTCCAGTTCGAGGATTTTCCCTTCTTGAACCTTGGGCTCTTCGTTCTTTACTCGCTCTTGTAAAAGATTTATCAGCTTCTCATTTTCTTGACTTAGTTGTTCTGCCCTCTCTCGATGCTGGTGAAAGGAAGTTTCCAAAAGAGTCTTCTCATCCACCAGTTTCTCATTTTCTGCTGTCAATTCCTGCACCATTTGTTGCTGGTCTGATAATTCTTGCAAAGTAGCCTGCAGTTCTTCAGCAGTGCTATGGTGGTTTTCTTCCATCTTCTGTATCTTCTCTGTAAGGGAAGCCAGGGACAACTCACTCACATTGTTAGGGGAGCTCCCAGTGGTAGAGCATCGAGAGCTCTTAAAGGGGTTGCTAGTGGAAGACAGGGGTCTGGAGGGAGTATCTGCTGAGATGTGCTCAAAATCAGAGGCATCTGGTGACAAAGAAGCTTTGGTAACATCACTACTTGAAGAACCCGATGTACGTAATGCATTCTCATGCACATTTTTTTTATATTCATCTATTTCACCTGACAACTGATTTCCAGTTGGGCTTCCGAAGCTTGACTCTTGAGTTATGGATGTTGGGCAGCTGCTATCACCAGTGTGACTTGCTTCCCCTTCTGAATTAGGTGACTGTTCAAGATAAGTCAGTTTCTCTTTCAACACCCGGTTTTCTTCCTCTAAATCAGCAAGTTCTTTCTGAAAATTCTTGTTCTTTTCTTCAAGAGCTCTTATCAAAGGTTCTGAGTCACCTGCTAAGACTGATGTTCCATCTACATTTGGGTCCAAAGCATGAATCCCGTCAGGGCTCAGAGTCTTTTTCTCCTTATATTTCTTCAGCTCACTTCGAAGCCTGTTAATTTCACTATCTTTTGCTTTGGCTTCTGCCAAAAGCTCCCGAATTTGAGATTCAAGCATAGCCTTTTCTCCACCTTCATTCTCTTGCTTGGGTTTAGTAGATGTGGTTCTTAGGTGCTTGGTAGGAGTGGGGGTGCTGGAAGAGGTTGGACTAGATACTGATTTCCTTGTGCTGGAAGGACCACGTGGTACAGTTCTCTCTCTTGAGACAGTTACGGAAAGTTCTCGAGGAGCTGGAATGCCGGTCCGCTTGGTTGTGGTCACAACCCCTACAAACAGAAAAGAAACCAGTGAGACAACAGAAGCATATTTTATCAATAAAGCCCAAATGACTTCAAACACATAAACAGGGTACCTACTGCCCTTCATCCATTTCCTCCTGCTCTAGACATCTCCCCACTTCTGACTGGGTGTCTGTACTTCTAAACTCTCGCAGGAAGGTGATTCCAAGCCTATGCTGTTCAGCACAATCCCAGCTACAGTTGCTGGCTCAAGGTATGAGCACATACCTCAATGAAGGTCAATAAAATAGAGGCAACAGTTTTCTGGGTGTGCTTCTTAAATACTCCTAGACATGAGTGCGGAGTCATGGGAGGCTGGGAATGGTTGACAAATGTGGCAAGTAAACAATGGCCTTTTGACAAAATACAAGGTCAGTGGGAATTCCTCAGCAAACACTTTTAAATAAATTTATCCTTATTAACATATTTTGAGAATAAATATGATTTAACATCAAAAGACAAATAATACTAAGGAAAGATTACTAATCCAATGATACTCCTACTAACATCCGTGGCAATGGTGTGTTCATTTGCATTCACAGAGAAACAACAATAAATGGAATATGTACATAGTTTGTATATACCTATGGTACAGTTCAAAATGTTAAAAGAAGTTATGTAATAATATAGAAAGACACTGAATTTAGCATACCTATATGGGGAATGAAAGGTAAGGAATTATTTTTCATTTTCGACCATACTACATTTTTAATTTTCATCTATACTACTTACTACAGATATATATGTGTGTGTATATATATATGTATATATATATATTTTTTTTTTTATTCTGGGGGTGAAAATCAATATATCTATCTGTGATGTGCACTAGAAATGAAACCCACCTCTAAGTTAAAGTGTAAATTAAAATTCTGGATCTATTTATAAACTCAAAGTCTGTTTGATGAATCTAGGCCAACTGCTATAACTTACACAACTAAGCACACTGGGCTGGTGTTCTCTACAGTGTGAGAAGAGCTGTGAGGAGGGAATGCACCCAAAGATTGGCAACAACCCTAGTCTACAAGGCAGACACAGAACCCAACATGGCCCACTAATTCTAAGCCCACTGCCAATACTGCTGCTAAGACATGAGCAACTGCACATTTAAGCATCCTGACATCTGAGGTGATGATGTAACAGCATTCATTGCCAAGTGTCTAACAGTGGAGTGTTCTTAAAACTTTGACATAATAAAGGTTAAAATGTCATATTAATATCCAGAAAAATTAATGTTTTCAGGTTAAGTTAATGGGAAGTTAAGAATACTGTGATACAAAGTTAATACTTTTAGGTGTTCAGATGCCTCATTTATACACAATATATAGTACTGAATATTATATATATTCAATAAAGACTTCATTAATTTTTCTTATAAAATGAAGATTAAAATCACTAAGCAATAAAATGTTCGTAACACCAGTTCTGTAGAGTGAAGTAATCTTGGCAAGGACCATAATGAAAACTGAGTCATAATTAAAGATTCCCTGTAACTATAGTCAAAATAGCAAATCCAAGTGTCCAGGACTGACTATCACAGAGGCACTTGCCCTTCTTAATAATGTCACTAAAACAGATGCTTTTTTCCAATCACTGTTGGTTTTGAAAGTGAGGATAATTCAAATAGTAAAACAGATGAACTGTCATCATTTCTATGTAGCGCTTAACACCTTCCTTTGGCTGCCAAATCTTAGTCTGTTCTCCACTTAGATGTTAATTATGCCTTGTCTAAATTACTAGGAATTTTTTTCTATCAAGCCAAAGTACGTTTATGAAATAGTAAGTTGTGTATTATGAAATATACAATCCAGTTGTTTTTTTTTCCTACATCTGTCTGTTTTTGCATTACCGCTTCATCATCACTTGGAGAGTCGCCAGTATAATTGCTTTCCATTTTCTAACAGATTCTTCCTATCGCTATACACATCATTTCAGAAACTAATCAGCAGAAGTGAAGTTTAAATTCACTCACCAGACCAAATAAGGTAGGTGCTGGGTGCTCATCCCTGTCTGTGCCTGTCTGTGACCTCTCATGGGCATGGGAGTGAGAGTCAAGTGGTGATGGCCCTACAGCCTTTAGCCAGAAGCTTCCACCACTCAGAGTCTCCTTCAAGTACCCTGAGTCAGAAGCCTCACTGCTGAACAGCACATTTTGGAACCCTGAAACTAGGCATCCACCTAACAGAATACATCATGGCAAGGGAGCCACAGTAATGGTGGGAAGACTGGGCCAATGGAGAGAGACTGGCTTGTTTTATCTAATCATCCTTAAAGCTAATCATCGTGTATTCTTACTGAAGCTGGGTGTCTGACTAAGAATTAAAATAAAAGCAAGATCTCTCTCATAGTTATTAGTCTAATACAATAATTAAAAAGCCATGCTTGATATGTTACATTTTAAAATGCCAAATGAAAAATGTTATTATGCTGTGGTTGATCACAGGTTCATCAGACTACATATTCAGAGACATTCACTAGAAAAGAAACACAATACTGAGAACAGCTGTATCTTAAGCTGAAATTTTCCTTTTTCTTTTTTTACAGTTACATTCATGCAATAAAACTTAAAAACAGGAGGAGGTAATCTTATCAAAACAATATAAAGAGAAATAAGGAGGCAGGAAAAAGAAACCTTTTCAGAGAACAAGGACACTTAAAATAACAATGGCACCATCACTTAAAGCACGATCAGATTTTTAGTAGTAACTTTCAATGAGATGAAAATAAAATATTTTCAGTTTTTTTAAATTTCCTCATCTTACCCAAAGAATATGCTACTGGGGTTGTTCTTTGGAAGGTCTTCTCTCGAACATTCACTGATGAGGGAAAAAGAGACATTCTAAAATAAATTATTATTCTTTCATTTATTCAACAAGGATTCAGAGTACCTGCTCTGTGGGAGAGACAGGTGGGGAACGCAAATGAAAGCTCTCTACCTTCACCTGCCACACAGTTGCTGCCTTGCCTCCCAATAAACAGAAGAGAACTCATTTATCCATCTTCTACGAATGTAACCCACCGGGATATTTCCCTACTATCATGGTTTGTAAATTTTTTCTCAAAAGTTCCCATAATGTCTTATGTTAAATCTAATTTTCTCCCTTATTCTTAATCCTTCCCAACTTCTCAGTGGTTACCAACTTTGTGACTAGCTGTCCCTTCTTTCTTTCATGCTCCTAATATCATGTCTGACAGTGCCACTAATCATTTTTTAGTCTTTTTTAATTTCCTCACCCCATTTGAGGAAACGTAACATCCCATTTTAAACTTCTGCTTTTCTCTTTGTAATCAACCAGTTGGCCCCTAAAACCTATTCACTGTCTTTGGAAGTGATTCCATATTTCATTTCCTTTCAGTGTAAATCTAATCCAGGTCCTCAGAATGATCCATCCAAGCTTCTGAAGCTTTATCATAAGGTCTTCCAGCCTCTCACCTGTGGAAATATACTAGATCAATATTCCTTAAGTATCATTCATCTTTCTGTCCCAAAATCTCTAAGTAGTTCTCATCCACTTGTTATCTAACTACTTCCCTTGTTTTTTTTTTTTTTTAAAGATTTATTTATTTGTGCATACAGAACTGGGGTACAGGCCAGAGGCTCAGGGGTGGTGAGAGGCTTCACCAGAGATAGAGCGGGGAGCAGAACAGGCAGATCGACAAAGTACACTGCTGAGGGGAGCAGCGGGCGGGTCAGGAGAGGTCTGCTGCGCCATGTGGTCACCTCCGGGGCAGGCAGGAATCGAACTCATGTGGAAGTGGCTTTAGATTCTCAGTGCTGTGCTTTAACCCGCTGCGCCACCAGGGAGGGCCTTCCCTTGGTTTTTAAGGTCATACATAATCTCACCTTAATCAACAGACCCAACCTTATTTACCTTTTGGGTTTGTTTGATACACACACACAGAGCTTTCTAGCTTACCCTTTTAGCTCTAATGTCCTCAATATCCATAGTATACGTGTAATTTCCTGAAATACTACTCCCTTTTCACTGGAATCTCACTAATATTTAAACATGCTTAATTTTCTTCAATTGAAAAACCACCTGGAATATATACCTTTCTCCAGCTAATATCTGATTTATCTCTTCCTTCTAAAGCAGAATTGTCCAAAATGTGATGTTTCCTGGTTGTCTTAATTTCTTCCTTGTATTAACTCCTGTACCTGACTCCTAATACTCAGCCAAAAGATTGTCTGCTGAGGTCCTCAATGACCTACCTATGGTCCATTGCAATGGACATTTTCAGTCCTCTCAGCAAAGTTGAACAATTCTGCCCTTTTAAAAACACATCTGTGATGTCATATTCTCCTAGTTTCTCTCTTATCTCACCCACCACCCTCTGTCTGTCTTCTTTTTGGTTCCTACCCTTCTTTCCATTTTCCAGGCCTAGGTCCTTGGTCTTATTCTTCTCTTATTACAAATATTTTCTTGGTGATTCTACTCAGTCCCATGATCTGCATACCACCTATAAACTGATGACTTCCAAACTCTCCCTTGCACATTGAATCAAAATATAAAACAATTCTCTTGATAAGAATAACTGAATATTACAAAAACATATCAAAGTAGTTCAAAGGGATAAAGCAAAGTTAAGAAAGAGTAAAAATTCAGGCCCTCCTGGTGGTGCAGCGGGTTAAAGCACAGCACTGAGAATCTAAAGCCTCTTCCGCATGAGTTCCATTCCTGCCTGACCCGGAGGTGACCACATGGTGTGGCAGACCTCTCCTGACCCGCCCACTGCTCCCTTTAGCAGTGTACTTCGTTGATCTGCCTGTTCTGTTCCCCACTCTGTCTCTGGTGAAGCCTCCCACCACCCCTGAGCCTCTGGCCTGTACCCCAGTTCTGTATGCACAAAATAAATCTTTAAAAAAAAAATTCTACACTTGATTTAACTATAATCAATCATAGAGGTAAAAAAGACATTTTAAAACATGCAAAGACTGACCAAAACTTAAACTGCCAACACCCTTTCTAAGGAAATTGCTTGGGAGTAAAATGAAAAGAAAGAAGTAGAAGGGTCCAGGAAGCAGTGACTCTACTAGAGAGAACCAGTCAAGGGAAATCTCCAGAAGATGCCCATGCAGTTAGTCTGGAGAACAAGTTCAGACTGATTGTATAGGACAAAGTGCCTCAGAAAATAACTTTTTAAAACAGAACATCTGATTGGATTAACAGTATGAAAATGAAATGAGGCTATAATAAACATAATGAAAAAGCCATATCAGAAGCCATATCAAAACAAGCTGCATAAGAACAGTAATAAAATTCATAGCATATGACTTCACTCTGCAGGGAAGAGAATCTATGAGTTCACAATAATATTATCATTATGTAATGGGATCTATAAACAAGTGTGCCAGACTTTATCAAACACTTGAAAATTTTTCATTCTTGCTAGCAAAAAAGATTAAAGTATAGATGAAAGATATTGGGAGGTAGAAAACAAGATAAATAGACTTGATAGAAAGGATAGTGAAAATAATATCTATCCTCACAAATGAATTCAAAGATATATATAGTTGACAGAACAAGAAAAAGTGAAATGCATTATTAAAGTAAAAGAGATAACCAAGAAAGGAGTGAAAAATAATGGTATTATGACACTGGGAGAGGTGAGTTAAATCCTCATCCAGCAGGAAGTGACAAAATGTCTAAATTTGGGGCCTCCCCAGTGGTACGGGGGTTAAGTCTCAGCACCATGAAGCAATCCACAGTCACTGCAGCACGAGTTCAATCTCCTATCAGGGAGCTGACCCACATGGCGCGGCAGACCTCTCCTGTCTCACCTGCTGCTCCCCTTAGCAGTGTATTTCAATTGATCTGTCTGTTCTGCTCTCCAATGTTCTCTGCTGAATCCTTTTACTCCCTCCCACTGCACCTCTGGCCTATACCCAACTCTTGTATGCATAAATAAATAAATCTGGAAAAAGGTCTAAATTTAAAAAATATCAATGTCAGGAAAATGAGAGCTCTGCTTTAATGCAAACCTTGGAGCTGTGCTCCCTCCCACAGTTGGTGGCTCTGGGAAGGGGGAGAGATGAGTAAGTAGCATGGAGGTGTACCCTTAGCTAAGGAGAGATGTATGCAGAGGACTTGGGGTGTACTAGGTGGGCCAGGTCCCCAATAGGAGGACAGGGTGCTGAACTGTGTCTCTCTTCGCCCTGGGACTGGTGCTGACCCCATGAAACACACTGACAGCATACAGATTGCAGACATGCAGGTCTGGAGTCTCAGACAGGAGGTGATCAGCAGTGATACAAACACAAACCAGCTCCTTCTGCTCAATCTTGCTCTGTCCAAAATGGCTCTTAAAAATAATCTATTAAGGGCCCTCCCTGGTGGCACAGCGGGTTAAAGCACAGCATTAAGAAGCTTAAGTCATTTCCGCATGAGTTCGATCCCAGCCTGCCCCGGAGGAGATCCACATGGCACGGCAGACCTCTCCTGGCCCGCCAGCTGCTCCCCTCAGCAGTGTACTTCATTGATCTGCCTGTTCTGCTCCCCACTCTGTCTCTGGTGAATCCTCTCACCCTCCGCATCTCTGGCCTGTA